ATTTTCACGAATTTTCTAAACCCTGTTTTGCGAAATCGTGGAATGGAGGAAGCTACTATAACGGTTTTTCTCGCGATAGATCGTCGCATTTGATGGGAATTAACGAGTATATTACCACAATCGAATATTAATTCATTAATGCGATAATTCTCGTGTCTGAGCAGAAATGAAGAAAATTGCGTATAAATATATCGTAGATCGAAAATCGTACGATCAGAACATTTGGAGGGAATTACGAAACGAAATAATAAATTCGCATTCACTCGTTCGTGCGAAATCATCGTGTGTGTTAATAATAAATTAATGTTGCATTATTATGTGTTGCTAGATTAGGTTGCATTTGTTGTTTAATATTCTTGCATTACGGAATTAACATGTATAAATTTCTGATTAGCGATTTATGTCTTGCTCTGCTTTGTTTGTCGTTAATATCATAGCGGTAACTTAATATAACACAGCGAAAGGGTTAATCACATTTTATGATTAGTGTGCTGCAACTGAGAATAAATAAATACGCTACGGCAACGATGTATCGTTGTAAACAGCGCCCCAATCTGAAGAGTCCGAAATAATCTCTGATTAAACGGTTCCGTAGGCGTTGATAATGCAGCGGAATTACATTAATTAATACGCCATCGAGATAATTTTATCTCCGGTCATGTTGGGGTGTATTTTTACGCCAGTTTGGCCTCTCTGCTCGATTCGTAGTAATTCACACGTGACGTTTTCTTTTAGAATTCGACATAAATAAACCTAAACGGTTAGTTTAGATTTTCTCGTATTATTTTATCCAAGATAAATACAAAGACACAAATTGACATCTGAACTAGATCTCGGTGATTTCGATTTTAAAGGCGACGGTTAAATATAGTCAAATGCACGTTGCGTCAATTCCATTAAAAGAGATACGTGATTACAAATTGATATTATAATTACCGCGATCATATAGTTGTTATTACATTGCTACTATGTAGGTTACTATATGTAACTTTACGTATACGTATAGTACTATACATGGCTTTGCATCCTTCATATCTTGGCTATTTCGAAATGTCATTCGTGACGACAATTAATAACGACTCGACAATCCAGTATTTCTTCACGATCTGTGACATACATAATATTACGTCAGTTTGCTATCGTCATGGTAGGAAAATGAGTTTCTCGTTGATTAAGTATACCGTGTTGAATATCATTGGTACGATTTTATTACTAGGGAAAATCGTAAACAAGTGCATGGAAATATATTTGCAAGTTCGCATCTTATTATAGTTTTTGTCAGCTATATAACTAATTATCATTACACACTACCGACTGATACAATTTAAACATTTTCCGACTGTGCAAGGAGAGGTAAGGTGGAAAAGATAAGAGCCACTGCGGTGCTATAGACTTTTCCATCCTGGAATGCCGTGTTTCAGCATTCCTGGCGAACGGCGCGACAGGTTAGGACGACAGTTGAATTTACAAATATTCGGCTGTTGATTCAGTTCGACAACAACAAGATGAAAAACATACCTACAGTCCAACGGATTCGCAGGGCTTGAATGACTCGCCGATGAAATTTGCGAAATATTTAATAAAAATTGAAAATTTGATAGAAATGACAGAAGGAGGAGGTAAAATGGTGTTCTTCAAAAATATTAGCTTACAATTATATTATTGTAAAATTACTAATATACAAAATATACGCACGATGGATCTCTCTTTATTGCCATCACAAATTGTGGCGCAAATGAAAGAGAAGGACTCTAAATGTCGGGGGTTAATCATCGCGAAATTATATTTGGCTGTGTGCGGAAGTTGTGTTGGATGTATAATTATTGTTTAATTAAAATTACGGAATAGAATTACGAAATAAAATGGAATTACAATTGCGCGATTCTAATCTTACCACTAATGTTCAGAGAGATAACGTCGCAGTATTTATATTCTAAAAGACGTCGATAATAGATTGAGAACTATCGATGTTACTATCTCTGTCCTCGCTTTTGGCATTATTAATTAATTCACCCGTAATTTCGCGCAAGTAGCCACACTACTTCAGTTACAAAGGTCACTTTTCGTTCAATTTGTGGTTTACTGCAATTAGAATGCCGATTAGTCGTAACAACGAGAAATACGAATGCATCCTGAACGTTCATAAGGAAAGGTAAAAATCATTCATGATGATCTAAGAAAAGTGTTTAAAATATTATTATGATATTTTTGGAAAATATATTCTTGCTTATTGTTCTACATGATTTTTTACCCTTTCCTTGTTTTAATCAAACAAAACGGAAGAAAATTTATCTTAAATTAATGATAAAAATACTCATGTGAGAATATACAAGCAAGAATATTATAATCTTAGAAGATTTTTAATCTTAATTTGATTGAATTTGTATTGATGCAAGTATTACTTGCACTCAATTCAAGACTAAAAATCTTCTAAAAACATTACAATATTCTTACTTATATGTGAGAATATCTATCATTAATTTAGGATTTGTTTGGGTATTCATACACGAGAAAAAATTTCATCGAACTAATCGGACGATGAACGAACCAAATGCTTTTTAATCGAAACAGAATTTCTGATTTTTATTAAGCAAATTCAGTTCTTACATCCATAAATTCTGTTTTTTCAACCAAAACGCGACAGTGAACGCCTTCGGTTTGTTCACTGTCAGGTTATTTTAACCAAACTTTTTTTCTCCGTGTACATTTGAGTAACTCATAACTCTACCTTTCTGTTCACCTCCTACCGCTCCACCTTTTTTTACGAGGGTTAAGACAAAAAATGAAATATGGATATTCGCCGTCGTCGTGTGAGACCATCCTTCGGCGGACTCGCGCGAGAACGAGGACACTCGCGCGCGGTCGTCCTTGCGGCATTACGCCGATCCGATGCACATGCGAAATCGACGTCACAGTGGCTGGATCATTCAGGAATTTCCGTGCGCGCGCGACACGCACGACAGACGCGAATAAAACAGAGAAACTGAGATGAGAATGAGACAGAGAGAGAGGGAGGGGGAGGGGAGGAGAGAGATCGGCGAAGGAACGGCGCGTGTACCGGAATTTCCACTTTTTTCACCTGTTGAAAATTCCAGCCGATTCCCGGGGGGGATTTTAATAGGCGGTGCCTTGCGCGTGTACCCGGCGTCCAAGTTCTATTTCCAGGTTCCTCGACGCGCGTCAAACCGGCGCGGCGCGCCGCGACGCCGCGTTTCCCGAGTTTCCGGCGCCAGCGTCGGTGTGCGTGACGCTCGATATTTTAAGTTCCACCCAGGATACAGGGCGCACTCCCCACGGCCGATTCTCCCTCCCTTCTTCGTTCCCTTCCTCCCTCTCTCCGTCTCTGTCTGTGTGTCACCGTTTCTCTTCTGCCCTCCTTCGTAATGTTTCACCTACTACTTCATGTTGTCACTTAATCCCAGAAGTCGGCACGGGGGTGCCGGTCTCCGACGGATTCCTAGTTCTGCCGCTTCTTATTTTACGGGAATTACTGTAGAACGGCGAGATATCGCATGTATACATGTGTGTATACGTATGTGTGTGCGCGCTCTCTCTCTCTATCTCTCTCTCTCTCTCTCGTCGCTATTAAAGTTTATTTTTTTTACACCTTAAGTAACGCACATTTCCGCACATTTTCTCATTTTTTCGCTTGAATTAAGTAATGAGAAGCTTCTCTTACTCCTGTGTACGTGTTAAACACTTGTACGAAATAAGATTTTTTTTGTTAGAATCGTGATTTTTCTCTAACACTTACGAATATCAAAACAAGATATTTGATAGGTAAGAGAGAGAGAGAGAGAGAGAGAATCGAATTTTTATCTTATCTGTCGAGAAAACTTCGCAAGAAAGCTTATGATGCCCTAGATAACGGTTCACGGCCGATATTTAAATATTTGCTCTTTCAATGCCTTCCTGAAACTTGGTCAAAACGATCCTCGTATTCCTTTCTGGACGTAAAAAATTAGAAAGATAGTGAACATAAACTGAAATGTATCGCGAAGATCGCCGCTAAATTTATTCAGTTAATCAAATTTATGTCGAGAGAAATGTAAATTTTCTTCGCAGAGGACTCTTTAATACTCAAATTTTTAAACATATGTTAATCTATGTAACGTTAGTTTATTTTTGTCATTTATTTATTCGTCCATTCATTGTCATTCGTCGCGGCAATTCTTCACTACTCTAGCGTTGGCCAGACAACGCACGTTCTCTCGAAAATCGATGTCGGCCCGATCCCTGGCGAAGGCAAACACCTTTCTCCCTGCCCCTCTTTTTCTTCTTTCTTCTCCCTTTTCTTCTTCTTCTCCCTTTTCTTCTCCTTCTTCTTTCTTTACGAGAGATCCTCCGCAAGAATCGGCCCTCGCACTCACGTGACTATCGAACTTCCGCGTGACTAGTTAAGCGAATGCCTCGGGCGCACGATACGATTCTTTAAAGCCATTAAAATGCTAGTTTTGTAAATCGTCGCTCTTGATTCACGGCCGTCACGGGGTCACTCGAGCTCCTCGCATCACTTTTTATCGCGTATTCTATTTATGTAACGGGTTTACGAGCAAACAAATAGACAAGCAAGTAAATTACCTCTTTATATCATCGCTGTGAGTAAATGAGGGTAAATACTGGAATTAGATGGAGAAAATGCAGACTTTAAATCTCAAATCTTCCTAATGCGTATTTTTTTATCCTTCTTTTTACTTTTACCAAGCGGTTTTCCTGTATATTCTTCTTCTTCTTCTTTATTTACATTTATTTAATCCCCTTTCTGTGTTAATTTTTCCAAGTTTCATTTTGATTATATAAAAATTTACTTAGCAATGTTTTTTCTCTTCTCTTATGCCAAATATTACGAGAAAAAAATCACTTATATTTATTTGTCAATTCACAACTGAGTGTAGACCTATTTATTATTATTGATAATAATATTGATAATAGCACTAGTATTAAAATATTAAAATGAATATATTTTCGACGTCACCGTTCATCAGATTTTGTTCTTTCAGTTGTTTTAGGCCCGAATGATGACGCTAGGTGACCCCACGGGAAAGCATGAGGGAAAGGACACCCTCCGCCGACGACACCCCGAAAAGGGCTCCACCGGCACCAACCAGAGGTGAGTCCCTTAGCAACATTTCAATAAAAATTTCCACCTCGTGATTTCGTATAGTAATGAATAAAATCGAGAATAGTCGATGAAGTACGGTAGTCGTAACAATACAACGAATAATTCACGCGACCATGTATTTTTTAACGCTCGACTTGTTGAATTGCAAAGAATCTGCTTTCTGGGAGGAACGGAAAAATTTTTCTTTGAGAAACATTCGCTCGTCGCTTGTTTAAGGATCTCAATTAACGCCGAGTCATCGACCATAATTTTTACGTATACATGTATAAAGAGGTGTCCCATCTACATCGCTTCATGTTTCTTCAATGCATTCTTTGATGAAATTTTTTTCACGGGTCTTTCTCGAAAATTTTCACGATGATTAGATAGACATTTAAGGTAACTGTTCTCATTATGGGCCATTTAAAGTTAAAATAACTTTCATTCATTTACATCTCTCTTCCTTTTATAAAACATAATAAAACGTCAGGGAATTCTCGTCGGGGAAAAATCGATTTCAAATTCATCGGAGGGTTATTTGCGATGATCTGTCACGCAAAAGTTAGGAAGCCGTGTAATTTCAGGATTATCACTCTCCTGGAATATCGCAAATATCCCAATTTCCCTTTCCGTTAAAAAAGGGAATTCAGTAAAGCCGAGGAGACAGAGAACAGTGACAGTGCCGAATTCTAATCCACCTTGCGTAAAATTCGCGACTCAATCATCGCCCCCTGTGCACGACCATAAGCGCAAATATACGATTGCCCGATTGCGATGGCGTAACGATTGTTTTCAAAGCCCTGGCGCACGCTATTCCGCGTATATTTGTCGGAAGATACAAGTCTAAAAACTCATTTCTCCCACAAAGCTCCAGGATAGCGACAGGTTCCCGGGGTAAATTGAATAACTTAATAAATAAATGTAAATTCTCCCTCTCTCTCTCTCTCTCTCTCTGTTCTCGCACATACAAGCGCGCGGAATCGTACGAAGACGCGAAGCAAAGATCCTCGAGACATTTTCTTCTTTTAACAAACCGTTTTTACGGTCAGAAGCGAGTCGCTTCTGACGATTTTTCATCACGGCGTATAATCACACACGTATCTCATTCCATTCGTCTCGAAAAATAATATCCCGATGTTTCGCATGCCTCGTCTTGCGAAACACCCGGATCGCGACTGTTCGTCGGAACCGATCATTTCGGACTTGCTCCCTTCTGCTTCTGCGGCTCCAACACGCGTAACACGGCAGCCCACGTATCTTTTTCAATGCGCGGACGACCGTGGCTTATCGGTCCCCTCCGCGCGCCAGCGCGTACACACGTGCGTGCACCGAGTACGTATTCTCGCGCTCATTTCATTGCGTAACGCGTCATCCACGGCAGTTATATGTATGCAAACACAAGGGATTTCGAAAGTAGTCACGCTGGTCGAGATCGTAATCGCAACATTGGCGGCGGCGACGGCCGCAATGCCGCGACTAAATAATTATCGAACTTGCTCGGATGCGACGACGACGATTAATCTCGCCGATAAACTCGCCGCGAGCGATAGTCGCGCTGCACCTAGCACGCGCGACCTCTCGATCGGAGAGGCGGTGCGGCGGGAGTGAGGAGGCGAGGTCGCGGATCGCGAAGCTCACTTTAGATGCGACTCAATATTTAAAGAGTCTTAGAAAATCGCGGACTTACCTCGCCCTCGCTTCCTTTAATCGCCCTCTTTCGGACGTCCGCGAACGATCGATATTTCTTATCAGCGTTGCGGTACCTGCGCTTATCTTGGCTACGGCGATATCAGGAAAATTTTCATGGCAAGGCTGTCTTCGCTTCAGCGGGAAAAATATTTCCCGCGGAATCTCCCTTGAAGAGGAGTGTAGCTGTGAAGATGAGAATTTCCCGGAAAATTCTCGCGGGAGCGCTTCCCGGGAAGGAGAAAATTAGCCGGAAATTTTATGCAGATACAATTTCCATCTATCGCGAAACTTACGTTGACATCATTTCCCGGGGTAGGTATTTCATAAGAGAATCGAGAAATTTCCGTAACGGGGAAAACGCGCGAGAAGAAACGCGAAATAGCTGACTCTAATTTGAAGTGTGATGAAGGGGATATGCGCATTTATAATGCCCCCGCGCGCATGAATTTTCCTCGACAGTTCTTAAAGCGCTTTTCATCCCTTTTTAAGCTCTGTGCTAAGTTTTCGAGTCTTCCGAGCACACCCGCGCGTAACACACACGCTCGCATATATCCGCCGTTGGCTAATCGATAACCGTCGGTGCAGATGGCAATATATCGTTAACAAGCCGCGATAGGCAAACCATTAATTATCATTGTCGTCGACGCCTTCTGCAAAACAAAGTGGATGGTCGGTCGGAGGGATTGTCGGTGTTACCAAGCCGGCCGGTTTTTCCCACCTCGGAGCTGCTGGTCGTCAGGGGCTGCGATGTCTACGTGTATATGCGCCGCGCCATACACCACATGTATGCGAATGTGTCTCTCTCTTTCTCCTCCCTTTCGTAGCACACGCTACTCGTACAACCCCTTTCGACAGAGGCAGAGGGATGGTTATCGATTCTCGCAGCCTCCCTTTTCCCCGACTTCCGGATAAAAAAGTGTCGGCAGAGACATAGTCGAGGAGAACTCTCTCTCTCTCGCGCGCGCGCGCGCGGTGATGTAGTACAAATTGTCGTGTATATTTCTCTATTTTCGGTATTCTCAGTTGTAAAAACGATGGGCGCATTTTTCCAAATAGCGAGAGAATGAACAACCCCTTAGAGGCGAAGTCGTATTTAGAACAGGTCGTTGTTGTGGGTTTACCTTATTTCTACGCTGATCCCTTTAATTACATAGATTGAAAGGAATGAGCGGATAAAAGTTAACGCGTTACGTAAGACGAAGGTTGAGGTGTGCGCTGACGTTCTGAATTACAGCGCAACGATAATCGTCGGTCTCACCGGTTGACGCCAACTGATATATACAAGGCTCTCTCGCTTTGTTTGTTCTTTCTATAATTCCGGTTCTGTCGGCAAACGAAGGAAAGGTGAAAAAGAATATCGTGGACCGACGTTAATGTCGATGCGTCCAGCTTAACCAAATCGTTATCTTTGAATACTGAATGTGTAAGATTGCGTTCGAGAACACACTGTGTACACACCACTAGATACTAGTTGTTCGGAAGTACTCAATGTGGTTTAGTGTGCATTCGTGTTACAGCGATCAGAAGTGTTCCGAAAAATAAACCACCAAACCACCCTATAAAAAAGCAAGGGAAGTCGGTGTGAGTCGGTGGGTTGCTATCTAGTTACTTCTGTCATAACTTCTTCGTGTTGTAAATCTTGTCGTTGTAAAATATGTCAGAGAATATCACATTGATACAAGGTATGAATCATCCGATGCTTGATTCCTATATATGAAAATTTAGTAGTGCAAGGTGTTCAAAGTAAGTAATCACGTTAGTATTGAAACCATATGAGCAGAAATTGTAAAATTCTAATTTCTCTCGCGTGTTATGCTTTAATATATACTGAGAATGAGACTTTTGTATAGGTCTGAAACAGTATTTTTTTAACATTTCGTTCACAGCGCTCGTCTATCATCGTCCGTTAATTTTACTCACTAGAAGTCATACTAAAGCGTTCGGAAATCTTCGACGCACGAATACACACGGTACCCCCAACTATTTTCCCAAATCGCGAAAACACCACGAGTGAGATTCTCAAACGCAATCTAAACGCGAAGATTCGTTAACCAAGACTCGATCGAATTAATCGTCCTATCAGGACGATCGTACTGCGGAATCCAGCCAAGATTAAAACTTAAGGAAGTTGTAAGGCTCAGTGTCATATTTTCAGTGGCGTATCAAGGGGCTACTCATAAATTTAGTATTTATCTAGCAAAATTACATTTCTAAGAAAATAAAACCCTAGGAACTTTTATTATAACCCAATAAATATATTTATACGCGATGCCCTTCCAATCCGACTAGATACCCAGCATCACCTTTGGATACAGATCGGTTTGAAGTGGTTATCGGTTTGAAGTGGTTATCGGTCATTTTGTTTTCCTCAGGATCATTTTCGCTCCATATTGTTGTAAACAATCCATTTTTCATCGCGGGTGATCATTTATTTCGTTGCGTTTGAACAGAGAATCGCTGATAGAAATACGGTCCATTAAATTTGTTTCCGTTAAATTGTGAAACATCCAAGTATCATAGTGATTCACGTATCTGAGTGTCTCGAAATACCTTATAACACCACATATGGGATATGTGGAGTATTTCTGCGATGTCATGTGACGTGGATTATTTTTAATTAGCGTTACGATTTGGTCATCATGAACGACTGCAGACCTACCGGAATGTTCTCGGTCTTCCAGATCAAAATTGCTACTTCTGGACCGAGCGAACCATTTACGAACGGTACTCTCAGCTGCGACACCATCTCCATAAACGGCATTTTTTTTCTGTTTGTACATAATTTTTCTTTTCCGAAAATAAAAGAGCATGAAATGACGGAAAATGCACCTTATTTCTCTCCATTTTCACTTTTAACATAAACATACTTAAAATTCACAACTCCACACATAAATTGCAGAGGAAAACGCGTTGAAATGTAATCTTTCAGAATATATATGTATATGTCATACATGAATGTATATGTCATATGTTTCAGCTATGCGTGAAACGAATTTACATGTTCAAACGCTACCTATTGAAAAACGTTACGAATTTTTGTTCTAACCTAATATTTCACTACTTAAATAATAAATGTTAATTTGAAACGAAGATGGCATAAACATATATATAAAATATTACAAATATAAAAATACTATTGTTTTTTTTATTTTTCTTATTAATGCTATATTTATCTATTAGTTGATCTAATAAAAATGCATAAATAATAGAGATTTGCAGATTGTTGAAAAATTAGACCGACAAACTTTGAAGGGAAATAAGACTTCAAAATAAATATTTTTTGTTGATACTATTTTTCTCTTCTACGTTTTGTTTTAACCCTTAGCTGACACACGGGGTTAAAAGTATTCCAGAGTGTTTTTGAACGCAAATTTTTCATAGCTGCGCGCCAAATTTGGTTCTGTGGCGTCACCTAGTATTAGTCGAGGCTTGACCCAATATTGATAAATAAAACAATTATACACATTTTTTCTCGCTGGAATCCAAAATACCCCCTATAGCACGTACGTTATTATTTTGATATGTGTCAGTTAAGGGTTAATATAATATGGTATAAATAAATTATATATAAAAATTAAATTCCTCTATTAAGGCTCGGCTATTTCGCCACAGCTATATTGATTTATGACGTTATAGCACGAAAAATGACATATAACTTAGATAGTTTCATTTTTCGTGTTATAACGTCAGAAACCAATGTAGCTGTAAACGCTACAA